TTGATGATTCATGCCAAATTTGATAATTATACCATCAAAGATTTTTCAGAAATTTCAAAATATGTTTTTTTTTTGGAGGGGGGATCTAATACAATGGACAAGTCTATTCAATTTAGCCTGATGCAGGGATTCAGGGGAATTAGGGAGCAAATGGTTCAAAAGGCACAAGCAAAAATGTACTCTGGAATTTGGCCTGTTAGTGGCCCCACAGGGAATCATAAATTGATCCCAAATTTGGTGCCTGGGTACCTTGGACTGTGCTGTTTAAGGGTGTCAGATGCCACCAAAATACATCTAGGGCTTCTATGGTCTGCCATAGAAAACCACTGAAAAAGTAATACTAAGATGGCCGAAAAAATATAGGGCTGACACAGAAGTTTCATAATTTCCCAGCTGTGGTCCTTCACTGTGATGACACACAAGAAAATTGTTTGCTTTGGTTCCAAAGTGATAGGCAATTGTTTTTTTTTCTGTTTTCTGGTATAATACCAAATTTCATGAAACTTTGTGGGTACTCAATATACCCATTGGAAATGAAGTATACTGTCAGCGATCGCAGGGAACGAACCAGGGAAGCAGGAGAAGGAGACAAATGATTGGGGAATGAGGAATTTAATGGGCAAACAGAGGCATACAGGGCAAAACAAACACAGACTTAAATTAATTGAAAGACAGGACTAGGGAAACATACTTTGACGTGGATTTAAATACAGAAACTTAATCAGACAGGGCTAGAAACAGCTGGTAACATGGGGATTCCACACGTGGTTAACAAGGGGGTGTGGCACACAGGGGGATCGGACGAGCAGGATGTGACAGAACTCCCCCCCGATATTCTTTTAACTGGGAATCCAGCTATTCTGGTGCTGTTAGACCTTACAGCTGCCTTTGACACGGGGATCATGGAGTCCTTTTAGCTTGTCTGGAGAATTGTGCAAGAATTTACGGTGCTGTTCCAAAGTTCACATTTATCTAACAGATATTTTTCTCTTAAGCTTTTCTACTTTTCTAGTACAGCCGCCATCACAGGTTAAGCTGTAACCATACCTTGTTTTGTGGTTTCCCCCGGTGAGGGACCAAACAGTAAGACAACACAAACACAAGAGCTTAACTAAAGAAATAGGGCTTTATTGACCCCCAAAATACAAACAGTAACAAACTCAAAATCTTAATAACCGGGCCCATAAAAGAGGTCAACAAAAATGAACAAAACTTAACATTGCAAAGTATTAACTGAAACAAACTGACCTTCCAATAAGGAGACATGAAGGAACATATATATAGTGGTTTGGCCAAACCAATTAACACAGAAAGGGGTAAACCAAATAAACATTACATATAATTAAACAGAGCAAAACACAACTAAACCCCAACTCCCCCCTCTTGCCATGGCAGCACATGGTTCACTCCTGCTCCAGGGGTTGTCCTTTTAAGAGACTGCCGCCCTCAGCCACACCTTTATACTGACTAGGAAAGACCATCCCCCACAACCAAAGCAACTGCAAACCAAAAGATTAATTTAGACCAAGGGTGGCCAATCTTATCCGAAAAGATTGCCACCGGTGTGTATGCGGGTTTTCGCTGCAGCTCCCTAATTATATTACTAATTAGAGGACTGATTGGCTGAAGAATCCTCACACCTGGGTTTGAA